CCCAATAAACCCTGGGCTGTGATCATTTCTCCGAGCTTCCTTGCAACGTTACCAGGTTGTGCATAAACGAAACAGTTGTTGGACCTATCATACTTGATCCGGTCTTCATGCCTCTCCTAGAGGCCCCGGCTCTCTCCGGCAAAAGCATTGTTGAGGGTTTAATTTAATTACCCAACCAATATCACCCACAATGATCTTTCAAATTTTCTACCTGGCACAGACGGAACTAGTCAAATTCTTGCTCCGAAGTTGTCGAAAGTGAGTTTACCATCTGCATATTTCAGGTCACATATTAAGAGGCTCTCGACTCATCTGAAACCATAGAGGGTGAGACTGTTCGCCAGTGCCTTGAAAGTAGGGCTTGAGAATCGACCGCACATGGCACTTTCATCCGACCTCATCTATTGTGCCGGCCGAACCCGTGGTAACGGGCCATCGCCAGCGAAATGCCAGTGGGAGATCGCTCAACATAATTGAATAACGGTATTAGCTGTATCCATGAACTTCTTCGAGGACATCTAGATGTAGAGCAGATTTATGAAGCCCTAGTTGAGTATACGCCTATCAAGGACAGGTTGACAATTAAGATGCTCCAGGAGGCAGCAAGGCGCTGACCACTTTGATGAGCCCGGTTCCCAGTCCTTGAGTAAGCTCGATTTAGATTTCCAAAGACACTTGGAGCATTTGGAGCAGAGGACATGTATTGCACGACTAGCTAAGGCGACGACTTAATAGTATACAGTCTTTGCGGAACAACGCGCATCTCCCCACAGCCTTGACTGTGTCGACTCCAAATGTGGCGAGCCATCATGAGTTGCATAAGCAGGGCATAAACCCAATGTGGTATAGATCTAGTTTTGACACCTGGACTTCACAAGACCCCCGCCCTTTCCAACTAGACCTTCAAGATAGTCTAGTAGAACTTCGACCGGCAACATATCCATGCGGCCTAGGTTGGGGTTGGAAGATTGAAGAATCTTGCCACCAAATAACACACGAATGTAATGCCGGGATGGAATAGACAAGGGAGTTTGCGAAGGAGCTGGAGCCGTCTTTATTGTCGTGCTAGATATACAGGAGCAGGCTGACACAAGTCGAGATTGACTAGAGCATTCTGCTAGGAACGAGCGTGGAAAAGTTGGAGAGCCACTTGTCGAACTGGTGACGTTTTGGCAAAGTATACTTGCTGATGTAGGATGCTGAAGCATATGTCGAAGGCAGTTGTCATGATGACAACGAGGTGCGACCACGGACGTCGTTGGGCTAGGGTTTGGTCCATGGTCCTTTCGCTTGTACAGCTCAAAGACTACTTCTGCGCCCATTCCTGGCCACACCATTTCATTAATCTGCAAGACGGAGAGTAGACGAGACAATGATCCGTCATGAGCTATGTTGTGGAAGTAGCGTATGTCACTTGATCCACCCATAACATCACGCAGATGGGACGTGAGCTCTCCAATCCAGACCCCGAGAGACGCAACACTAGCGGGGAGTGACGAGGGATGATCACGATATATTTGACTGTATTCCCAGTTTCCCAGACGATAGACCGCATTGGCAAGGTCCTGCGAGATGCACTTAGTGCTGTTCTGGCCATCAACTAGCTTGCAGGGTAAAGGTTTAGCATGGCATTGTCTAGCGGAGAGGTTATCATAGTAGTGGTCGAATGACGAGTGGAATGCGCCATCGCTCGAGGGAACTCCCGAGATACCATCGAGGGTACTGAACAACGCTGCGGACGCCTCTAGATGCTGTTTCCAATCAGGATTTTTGTTGGATTTGATGCTATTGAAGAGTGTATCGGCTGAATTACAAGGGTATTGTGGTTCCAAGCTGTCGACTCCTGGGGCCTAGGAACAACAGCTTTTGTCAGCAACGGAGTGAGGAGGCAGACCAAGTAGGCTATTGTGGAGGGTGCCGTTACGAGAACGGAAATAGAAGCAGGATAGTCATGGGACGTGAATGAAATCTAGAAGAGAGATAGTTAGGGAGAGGTGAGTGATCCTGCTGCGTAACATACCTCAACAATTAGGGGATATGGATCGTTTGTCCACCACATGCCGCTGACTACCATGCCAGCAACCTGGCTCGTGATAACATTATTAGTAACGCGATATCGCACAGAGGATTTGTAGTCCGAATTTCTCGATGGAAGGAACCCCAAGAGATCATGATACACGGCATACAGATCAGCACCGTGCTGCCACGAGTCACTTAGACCGCCAGACGTAATTTGAGGAAAATTACAGCTCCCAATCCAGCCAGGTGGCACGAATGGGTTCATCGGAGAGATGTGCCCTTTTCGAAATACGGGAGAAGATTGCTTTCCCTGCAAAGGTTCGCCGTAGAGAAACAAGTGTGCATCTTCGCAATTCCACTGGTAAGACTCAACCGGGAAAGCATTTGAAGCGTACGGCGTCCGCTTGTGGTGCCTGTGAATCTACAAAAATAAGTAAGTAGGAGATCGATGGTAATAAACGAGGAAGTAATGGCTCCAAGTCATGTACAGAACGAGGTACGTAGGCTCCTGAACATACCAATTCAACATATTGTAATTCATATGCCTTGTCGGCCACAACGTACTCTGTTGGTCGAACATGTGGCATATTGCACCAGTTGTATACTCCATACTCGTGTTGGGGAGTATTTGACGAATTAAAAATAAACCCATAGACCCCATTGGAAGCCAGCGCCGACGTAAGGTTGTTGAGCTGTGTTTCTGCCGGAGCGTGCCAGCTTGTGTCAATAGCCCTCGTGCCGTGGACGGCCGAACTTGCCACCACCAAAGCTATCATGATCTCGGCAAATAGTACACGCCGTCCCATTGTATTGTGTGCCAAAGGCATAGTAAATGAACAGCTTTTTTTTCTCCTCCTCGTTCCTGTCAGCTGGTGAGACAAGTCTACTGGAGCGGGGGACGTCGTGCTATTTAACATGTCGACTCGGATTGTACTTGAGCCTTGAGCTCGAGTTATGTAAGTATTAGGTACCTGGACTAAGGTGCCTAGTAGTAGCCCGGTTGCGACGCGGCTGAACCTAGCAGACCGGGATATCACCACAATGAATTTGATGAGATTGAGAAGACCCCGTATTGTGGAGAGGATTCCCAGCAAGTCCGGTGCCTGGATTGGAACTAACAAGACCAGGTGCAATATACACATGTAGGCTGTCAGCCAACAGATGCCGGTGCCTCTGCATGTGCATGAGCGAGTGAATGAGCCAGATGCCTCCCACGTGGACGCCAGAGACAGCATGTCCAGTTGCCAAACTACACCAGACACTTCAAAGTACTTGACACATTTATTAACAAGTCTGGTTCTTGCCACAAATGTCACTATGAGTTTTCCTTACCCTTGTACGGGTCTTGGACGATTATGCCCTGATCACATGCCAAATCATACCGTTCTTCTGGTGGAACTTGGGGTGTCCTGGGTGTAACCCATGTAATGTCTTTGAACACTATTGTGCGTCTGGTTTCAGCAACTAACGATGTCAGGTATATTGAAATCCCTCGAATTCCATACTGATCATGCAGTTCCATTTGAGGCCAACTCCCTTCGATATCCGACCATGTACCTACACACGTCTCCGTGCGCAACGGTCTAGCTACACAAATACATTGAGTCGCTCCTTGCTAGACAAACTTGCCCTCAACTGGCGGACAACAACTCGACATAAATCCTTCAAGCATGTCACGAAATAGTTCCGCGGCCCGAGCCACGAGGGCGACCTCTACGCCTTCCTCTTCCCCTTCCCCCTCCCCTTCTTCCCCCACGGTACTGGGTATAGCCTAGTTCAGTCGAAGCACGTTCTCGGCTGTTCATTCCGCTTGCAGGAATGTCACTATCGCCGCTGTCATCACTAGATGATACCGCCATGTCTATGGTGCTCCCGTGCTCGTCTTCGCTAGACACCATATCCGTCAATCTCACAACTGTTTTCTGGGTAGTGGAGATATCTGATGACTTGGAGACGGATTCCTGCTCATCGTCTGAGAGATTGGTTAGCGGTCCCGCCGCCGCCGAGCTTGTTCGTGGACCAGGCCGACTTTGTGACTGATGACGATAGCTACCTTCTGTGCGACCAGCCACCGCCGATAAAACCTGACGCGACTCTCTAATCGTAGATTCTGATGCTTCAGAAACATGTGATCCACCATCCTTATCCTTCAGTAATGGACTGGCAGCGGCTCTTCGCTTCCCGATCTTAAATTTCCTGCCTTTGAGAGCCAATCTTTCCGCCATTGACATGAATGACTGACTTGCAGACTTCAAATTTCGTACTTGAGAAGCTGGGTTCTTGGCCTCTGGTTGTGATTCCCTGCCTCTGGGGTTAGAGCGCAGTTCACGTCCAACATCTTTGAGATTACGTTCTTGGGATATTTCGACCGTCGCAACGCTACGCACTGATGGTTCCTCGTGTTGTTGCAAAGACGCTCCGATTGAAGAGTTGCTTTTCAACTGCTGGTAATTGCTTGACCTCACATTAGAGGTATCAGGAGCCTCGCCTAGAGATTCACCCTGATCCCTTAATGCTCCTGCTGTACCATCTGCTGCTGTATCCGATTGTTTAAGAGAGACAACCGTTGATTTTCTTGGTCGCCCACGCCTGCGAATGGCCGGCCTGGGGCTTATCGGGTCGGTCATTGATACAGAGTCGACAGACCTCAAACTGACCTGTAAAGGTCGTACGCGGCTTTTCCGGCCCTGAGTTGATTCCAAGTGTTTTGATGTTACCGACGCCTCCTGTTGAAGTCCACTATTTTGAACCTCCGAGAGTCGAGCTTCTTCAATCGCTTCCGCAGCCTTATCGTCCAAAACGGCCTCTTGACCAGATCCTTCGCCAACCATTTCACCCTCCTCTACTTCATCCATGTCAACATCATCAACTTCTACGTATGATGCTAGAGGCCTTGCATGCCGAAGAGTAGGCTCCGTGGGCATGGTCTCGGTAAGGGGCTCAGTTGAAAGTGTCTCTAGATTTCCATCTTGGTTTTCCGCGAGGTGTCTAATGGTGTTACTCGATGGCACCCGCCTCTGACGCAACGTTGATGATGCCGTCGACGGCTCCACATCAAAAAGCGCTGGATCCAAATTATCCAATATATCTACGCCATTTGTATGCCGTGTCCGTTTGTGACTAGATCTCCCGACTATGAAATCTGGGTCCTCATTCTCCCGTTTGGCTTTCCTCTTCGCAGCGCGAATAGACTTCTTGACGGAATCAGGTACTTCGAGGTCGGCGAGGTGAATAGCACTAGGAGAGGGGGCTTTATATGGATCGAAGAGGATTTTGTCGGGTGTATCATCCTGCTCATAATACCCCATCCCGATACCATAATTTGAGGCTACAGAGGGATCTGGGTAAGGAGATATGCCGTCATGCGCAACCAGTGGTCCCGCCGAATCCGACCTTGGCCGTGAGCTATTTCCGGACTCCAAGGCGAGTGTGGGATACTCATGAGCACTCTGTCTTTCAGGATCGCGACCCTCTGGGTCGGTGTTCGTGGCCCTCTGAGAATTATCGCGGTCTCCAAGGAGGGCCCTTTCACTTTCGACTTCAGCCAGCTCGCTTCGTGCCTTGGCGTGGTCAGCTTGTTGCCGCAATATTTGCATTCTCCGGCTATCTCTGCTCCGGCTTTCTTCTCCAGCAGCCTTCAGCCATGACAGATTGTGCACCCGAAAATCAACCAGGGCTTCAACACTTCTGTCATCCGCAATTGGTCGAGTATCATGGCCAAGGGAAGTATTCTTAGGTGTATATGGGTTCGTGTTTCCTGCCCGACGACAATACCCACAATTGCAAATGCCCAAGCATTTTGGGCACTGCCAAGTTTCATTTTGCAAAACTGCCTGCGGCATCATATCGAAAGCTCTATAGAGAACGCCGTAGCAATATGCTTCTGCACACTCCGAATTCGAGCATTCATGAACTCGATAACTGTAGTCCTTATGGCAGCATACGTGACATCGGCGGACTTCGCCCTTCTTCTGCTTCCTTTTCGTTTTCTTCTTAGGTTCATCCTCAACGTCTCCTTGCTCAGAATCACTCGCAACTTTGCCAACGTCTTGCTTCGTAATATCTTTCCACGGGCGCCTGATGAGGGCCTCCTGACATATCTGCGCCACTGATTTCTTGGCTGATTTTTGTCGAGCCGTCTCGAAAGGAGGAGGTGAGCTATGCAGATCAACAAAACCATCATTGACGATGACCATCTCACGCCATAGCTCATATTTCCCGCTAAGCTCAGACCAAGACCATTGTTCACACCATTGAAGACCAGATAAGCAAGCACAGGACCTTCCCATGGCGTAACATTCCATACATATATCGTATGCATCTTCATCTCCGTTAACAAGGACCCTTGTGCAATTTTTGCAGGTGAGGAATCGATTGAATATATTGCAGCGACAGTATGAGCAAGTGACGCATGAGTCAAAGGGCAGTCTTTCGACTTGTTTCTCGTTGTATGCAAAGGCCTCATCGATAAGTATTTCTGTAAAAAGACTGAAGAGAGACCTAAAATCTCCAGCAAGCTGTCTCGCCCGGGGTGAATTTCTGACGATGTCTCTTCCAATGCCCATGAAGCTGTTCTGGGTGATATCTTCTTGTCTTTCCATTTCTTTCAAGAGCTGGTAATATTTGTGCAGGGTGAAATATATAATCGCCTTGTTTTTATATTGTTCATCACGACACACCAGTCTCGCTTTTGGTAGAGCCTCGCGCAATGCCAAACGCAGAGTCTCAGGAGTAGTTCGGTTCCAGGCCACTTTCATTGTTCGAGTACCTCTGTTCCAGACTTGATGGGCTGCCAGCGGCGGAATGATGATAAAGTCGCCAGCACGCTGATCGACAAGGTAGACATCGAAAGGAGCCTTCTTCCAAGCGTTAATTTGCGCAAAATGCTTTTCAATCTCAATATCATGGCCCAACATCGACAAAAAGTATTCACGGACCACATCACGATCTTTACTTTCAGTCATGAACCAGATAGAACTTCCGGGTCTTTCTCCAGGGCTATCACCTGAGGTCTCCACCATGATATTATGTCCAACAGAAGCACACATCTCTCGATGAGCTGGTGTATAGGTGCCTTCGTGACCAACATAACACATTAAGTTTTCGGCCCGCATCTCCTCGGGTAGGCTTGACATGAGGTCTCCCGCAGGAGCTATGGAGTTTTCGCCATGTTGACCATCGCCTCCAGGCCGTCGTGTTGGATTCGATGAACCTGATTTTGTGACGTTGTCGTTCAGATAAAATAAGTTGGGATGCAAAATTGTTTGCAATTCATATCGCCACTCCACGGGACAGTCGATGTCTTTCAGGTAAAGTCTTTGCCGACGCTCATCCCGGAAGTTTTGTGGAGTCCATTGGTTTGTCAGTTGCTTCATCGACCTCAGATAATGTCCAGTTGTCATTGGAATATCCGTACCGGCAGTTACGTCGCGAACATTTTCCTCTGCAGTGAGGTGAACTTAGCAATAAATAATGGCAAGATGCACAAAGAACCTAATTACCTTTTTTATCATATGTCTTTTCGAGCCAGTTGACATTGAAGAGCTCCTCTGGCAAGAGCGCATCCCAGCCATCAATGACCAGTGGTTTCCCTCCAGCGATAACATGTATTTGAATAAGCTTTTCAAACCCCTGCTGACCAAGACCAAGTACTTGAGACCTTGAGACTCTCTGTACCCATTTGAAATTCGGTGTCCGATCTACCAGGCCGTACAAATCAAGGTCTGGCGGAATGGGATCGAATTTAGCTTGCGGATGGAGTGAAGTCGGCATCTCTGCGATACAGGCACTGTGGGCTCTACATCCATAATTTGCGGACGCCGATCACCAGCCAAATAACCTCGATGACAGGGCGAGGAAGTGAGAGAGTGCGTGGATGCGAGGTTTGCATGCACTGCTTTCAACTTGAGGTAAATGAAACATAGGAGTCCGGGAGTGAGCGAGTTAGGACGTTAAAGTAGTCATAGGCATCCTGCAAACAGGACCCTACTAGCAAAGGCCGTCCGGACGCGACGGGGATTGGTTTGCGCAGGGTTGAACGGGCAATGAATGCGACGCACCAACAATGACAAAACGTGTGTAGTCAGCAGTCAACTCGACTCAAACATAACGGACATCACGTGACGTCATATATGCTATAGTCCAGACGTCAAATTTAATTTCGATACTGAACGAAGTGCTGGAAAGAGTTCACTTTGTTTCGAGTCGACCAAAAATGATTATTAGTACTATGCCTGAAAGCCTAAAGCTTTGAAGGAACTATCTACTACTAATTTGAGGACCGCGAATGTTGGTTAAGGGCCATTACTACTCCCAGGTTTTGAACCATGAGGCCGCCAAACGTGTCCCGTGTCTCTACAGCGGCGTCTAAAATTTCCAGAGGGCTTCAGCTTACGCCCGCAGGGCAGAGGATACCTTTCTATGCGAGAGGGGGCGTCGGTTTGCGCGTTCTTCAAACTGGCTTCCTCAGACAGCAGCTTGGTAGACAACATCAAACGCATCATCTAGCATCGCCTGCTGTTGAGCATCAAGCCAAGCTAGAGAACCATAGGATACTTCCAGCCTATCAACCACCCAATTCTGGGATTCTTTCACTGATTCCAGCATCATGGGTTCCATATGCAGAACTCATTCGAATTGACAAACCAACAGGCACCTATTACTTGTACTTTCCATGCCTTTTTTCAACATTGATGGCAGCACCAATGGTTTCACCGATGCCCTCGGTTGGTTCAGTCGTTGGCACCTCATTACTGTTCTTCTCTGGTGCCCTGATAATGCGCGGAGCGGGATGTACCATCAATGACCTGTGGGATCGAAATCTCGACCCTCACGTCTCTCGCACTCGACTTCGACCAATTGCTCGGCGCGCCATTTCTCCCTTCAACGGCTTAGTGTTTACCGGGGCTCAACTTCTAGCTGGTCTAGGCATCTTGATTCAATTTCCAGCGCCTTGTCTTTTCTATGGCATACCGAGTCTTTTGTTCGTTGCGAGTTACCCCCTGGCTAAACGAGTAACCTACTATCCACAATTTGTCCTAGGTTTGACATTCTCATGGGGCGCAATAATGGGCTTTCCAGCTTTGGGCATAGACCTGTTGTCAAACGGGTCAGCTCTAACGGCTGCCGCCTGCCTTTACGGCTCCAACATCGCCTGGACCGTCTTGTATGACATGATCTATGCGCATATGGACATCAAAGACGACGCTAAGGCTGGCATTAAAAGTATTGCATTGAAGCACGATTCACAAACCAAGCAAATCCTCACAGGGCTAGCTACGACGCAAATCGCTCTTCTTGCCGCCGCTGGCATTGCCACTGGTGCTGGACCGGCTTTCTTCATCGGAAGCTGCGGCGGAGCTGCAGTCACTCTGGCACTTATGATCAGGAAAGTCAACCTTAAAAGTGTCAAGAACTGTTGGTGGTGGTTCGTAAATGGATGCTGGATTACGGGTGGCACTATTAGCTTGGGCCTAGCAGCAGATTATCTCATCCAACTTTCAGACAAGTCTACTGCTGATGATGACAAGAATCCGGAACGATGTCAATACTAAGGGACCTTCTGTTTGTACAATACTTCATTTCTCCAATAACCACGTATGGCTATTCTTTATAGATATAGTGTTCTGTCATGCTTCAAAACGAGACTTCCATTTAAACTGTAGAATCTAGCCTCTTGTGATCAAAACCCAACCTGTGATGCCAATGCAAGCAAGCCGATCCGACTCCTCATGCCGAAAATTTGACCAGTTAGCGTCGCCCCCTTTCATCCGTTGCCATTTTTAAGAACGAGGCTTCTCCTTCTTCTCCTTCCACAGAGCCAAAAGACCAACGCCAGAGACCTTCACAACCTTGAATCTGACACCTGGAATGTCACCCTTTGCCTTGCCCTTGCGACCGAAACCAGCAAGCAAGACTTCATCGTTTTCGTCCACAAAGTTCAAGCAACCGTCGTTAGGAACTATATGATATAGCCAATTAGCTAAGGGAACAATTCGGTGGACCAGGCCTGCGTAACATACCAAAGGCAGTGACCTTCTTGCCGTTCTTGATCAATTGCACTCGGACACACTTTCGGATAGCAGAGTTAGGCTGCTTGGCCTCAACACCGACCTTCTCGAGAACAATTCCCTTCGCGTGAGAAGAGCCACCGAAAGGAGATGACTTGAAAGCGGTGCCCAGGGCACGCTTCTTGTAATGGAGATCGGCCCATTTCTGGTCCTTTCGGTTCGTTCGCAACTTTCGCGCTGCGTTAAGACCACGGGGTTTGCCTCCAGCCATGATTGCTATTTTAGTTAGCAACGAAATAATCCCATTAACATTTTATTTTCAAGATCGTTCCTACTCGAATGTTGATGTACGTACCGATTTTTGTCGTTACCGCTCGGCAATGGGTGTGATGATGACTTCGAGCGGAGCAGCAAAAAGTTGAGCTTGCATGCCAAGTTTGACACTAGGGTTTCCTGGCCCTAGAGAGGAAACGACTTCGAGTCCCAGCGGCTCTTCATTCACGTGCCTATTCACGTGGCGTATGCCTCCGCAGGGTGCTCTCATGGGTCCACTCGCAGGCGGTCACTGCCTGTGCTAACTGGCAACTACTACTGTCTGGTTGCATGTTCTGTACTGGGTACCTACCGAGTAGTTACTACCTTAAGTACTTAGGTAGGTAGGCGGACAGATATTCGATTAGACCTCACTTCAGAATGGGATAATAATGAGGAGCTATTGTTGGGCATCTTGTCATATTAGGGATGAATGTTGCTATTGCCCTGCCTGCAGCATTAATGTCTCCGATGTCGAAACCAGTGGGAAGACAACGCGACCCTCCCCCGGTACTCTTTCTTCATCCTTCTCCGGGCGGATCACGCGTTTCTCTGTCCAGCACTTCAGCTCCAGGACCAGCTCCGCCGACTTCAAGACGAGAACTCTCTACTTTGGAGCGCAGCACATCTCTTCGTTCCGGATCTGCTCCAACAAATTTGCAGCGATCCGGTAAAGCAGGGAGCACTCGGAGTACGGATAAGACTGATGCATTATGGGCGGAGATGCAGGCTACTTTGGAGGAGGTTGAATTGTCAGCGTCAGGTGGCACTCACGTGTTTGGACCTGGGCATGATCAAAAGCTTTCTGAGCTACGCTCTGCGCAAATAGGACTCGCACAAGCCTGGGCAAGAAGCGAGACTGATGAGTCAATTGGTGCATCTCCACGGGATAAAGTCATTCCCTCTCCTGGCGAGCAGCTTCACAATTTGCGTGGCGTTTTCATGGAACCGCCGAAATCGAGTGCCTTCGAGGGAACTGAACAAGCGAAAAGTCTTAACAAGACATCTGGTGAAGGATTAAAGGGCAAGAATGAAGCTTTGGGCTCTTTTGGGTCCAAGATCATTGAGGAAACAGAGATGGATATTGTTCTTGGCCGGAAAAGAAGAGAGGCCAACGATAAATATTTTCAAAGGGTTAACGATGGTGTCATTGACGTGGTAGCAAAATTGGAAAACGTTACGGTGGCTATGCGAGCAGTCGAACAGGAAAGCCAAGATGTCTGGAATGAGGACAAATCTATCGATACACGTTACTAATGAAACTTGAACGAGCAACCCCTTCACGCGTCCCGATGCTCCCTGTTCTTGTGCTTGCCAATCTCAAATTACTCCCAGGTAACTGAAATCCCATCTGACTCCATGTCTGTAGATCGATGGATGCATTGCCACTCCACTACTCCTTTTTCCTCTAGCTGACATTGTTTTTTAGTGTATGACGTCTACTGAACTACCTACTTGAGTACTTAGGTAGTACTACCCTACTACACTGTCTGTATGTGCAAAACTGAGCTCCCTATCTAGGCAAGGGGTGACGTGGAGACCAGTGCGCCGAGTTGCACACCTTATTGCGTCTTGTTTGTATGTCAATCGCAGAGCCCAATAATCCCTTATTCATCTACAAGCCTTACCTCTCATTTTCTTCTGATCAAGGGAAGAAAACGTATACGTGGAGGGTTTCCATTAATAAGGTCCTTAAATGCCGTTGCCATCTCTCCCTCGAGCATTGAACAGACTCTACTACGCCTCACTCGGGGAGTGGGGCTAAGTACCTAAGTACCTAGGTAGGTATTAATCACCTTCCAATTATGGACTGCGGGCTTGGTGAAATGATGCCGGATTAATATTAAAGCGGACGGTGGCTCCTGATGCCATGAAACATGACTGCCACTCAAACTTATCATCACTTGCAGGTTGCAACCACTGCCCGCCCGTACCCCTTCTTTAGGTATTTTCCTCGTACAAACTAAGAATACTAGCATCTTCTATCTCGCCGAGAAGCCTCCGCAAACCATTCGTGTCTTAGTAGAGAAAATGAAGTTTCTCTCAAGTCTGGTCGTTGCCCTTGCGGCCCTCCCAGCAGTTTTGGCTATGAATCAAAAGATGCCAGCTATTGTGTATTTTCGCGAGGATTCCACGCCCGATTCCGTAATAGAAAAGGCAAAAAAGACGTTAATAGAAGCCGGAGGGAAAATTACTCATACTTATACGATCATTAAGTGAGTTAGCCAGGCTAGACTCTTAGACTTCAACTAACTCGCAGTAAAACAGAGGATTTGCCGTGATCGCACCAGAGAAGGCGCTGCAGGCGCTGCAAAAGGTGCAGGCGTGGGGTACAGACTACGGCATGACGGTTGAAGAGGACAAGGGAGCTACAACCCAGTGAGCATTGCGGAAGGCTGTTGCACGTTTCACAGTATCAGATGAAAGGCATCATTTTCTATTATCTTCCTTTGAAGGGAGGGGGTTTGTTTCGGTGTTCGTCACAGCTCGAAGATGGGATATTATTCGGTCTTTTTCTTTTTTAGATTATGATGATACCTGCCGGGATATTGGCATTTATGACTGAACGTATATTTGAAACGCCTTAGTGTCTGGTACTGCGTTTACAATTAAGTAGACTTGATCTCCATTTGTAGCAATAAGCACGTTCCGGTGCCTGCCTGGGTTGGTGAGCGGGCGGGAATATCAAGGTTTATATGCCACTTGCAAGATGTACAGAAGTTTGAAACAGTCTATAATGCATTCTGTGTCAACCGGCAGTAAAGAGATGGTGTATCATGCTAACAATTACCTCTTAAGTAATTAAGTACCTACTTAGGTACCTATCTAGGTAGGTAGGTACCTAGGTACCTACTTAAGTGATTGATAACGGCGCATCACATCGTACTTATCGTTGCTGCTAAGTATAGGTACCTAGGTACCTAGGCAGGTACTTTACCCAGGGTATTGACGCAACAAGTAACACTCCCCTGAAGCCATGGAGCTCTGGGTGCTTGTGGGGCTGTATCATATCTGATGCGAGACCCTTGACCGCGTGGAGCCCGTATTGACAGCTCTAACCTTCATGTCCTTGGGTTCTCCCGTTGCCGAAGCTGCTCCTGGATATTGCTCCTCATTTCTACGTGTCTTTTATTAGCGTAAGAGCATTTCGGCACGATATGCTCCCAGTTCCCTTTACATCACTTCCTGTCACGACTACGGGAGCTCGGATCCGATATGCTGGTCCTTCGTCTAGAGTCTCCCCAAACTTTGACTAAGCCGCGTCAACTTCTGAAAACCTATAGGCCGTGCCCTCAAAAGAGCTTGGGCTTGCATGACAATGGCTCCTCCATCTACGACAAACGCAATGCCGACATACAGTCCCCGCGCGCAGGCTGCTCTCCTCAAGTCTGTCAGTGAACCTGCTGAATGGCCCCGATAGAAATTTTAACATTCGTTCGAGCTTCATTACGGTTGGCTGATTCAAACTTTCAGGCCAACCACGTTTTTGATTTAAACCAGGCTGCCGAATCCCTCGATGAATTAACAAACGGTATTACGCTTGCCCATATTCTCCATGAATTAGATTCTGAATTTGATCCATCACACCTTGACTCGAGCCATGGCACCTCGAAGTACCTGACCAACAAACGAAACATTCAGGCCGTCTATAAAGGTCTCTTCAGATTCATACGTCAACAAGTCCCTGAGCTTAGCTGCCAAGCAAAAAAGTTCGATTATCATGCTGTGGCAGAGAACCCGGAGCCTCAAGGCATCAGCCAGGTGCGTGTACTCAATTATGTATAAGATCCATAACCCATCTACCTTTCTGGTTACTTACCAAGTACACCCTTTAGCTCCTTGCCGTCATGGTGTCTGCTGCTGCTATGGGCCCCGATAACGGCAAATATGTTCCTAGAATCCAACATGGTCTCGACCGTGAAAATCAGGCGGAGATTATGCAAATCATTCGAGCAATGCAACAAGATATCTCCAATTACAAGGATGACGATGATCTGGATGAGGCTATCGATGCGGTTATGGAAGCGAGGGATATCGATCTCCTAGTAGAAGAGCAAAATGCCGTGCTTCGGCAACAGCTTGACAGCACAAAGAAGAATCTCTCGGATTATATTACTCGTTTGGAATATCTTCAGCAGAGCCATGAAGAGCTAAAATATGAAAAGGAAAAAAACGATCGTGAACTCGAGGTTTTACGAAAAGCTACGCAAGACGGCGCCAACAGTGCAGAAGCTATCAAATTACTTGAGGCTCAGGTCCACGAACAAATGGAAATCATAGCGAGGAATGAAGAGACTATCCGTAATCACGATCGAGTTAAATCTCAGCTAGAGGGCGAGGTTCAAAGATTGAACCAGAAGAGCATACAGGCAGACGAACTCAGGGATCAGGTAGCAGAATGGAAGCACAAAGCCGAGGAATTTGAAAAGAAAGCAAATACAGCAGAGAGATACAAGCAGAAACTTGAATCTCAGCAACACCTTGCTAAAGAAGTCCAAAATCTACAGTATGAAAAGGCCGAGTTGCAGGAACAGCTGCGCTTCCTCGTGGATGACAGAGAGAAGAATGAGAGGACCCGGAAAGCCGAGGATGAACTCACTAAAATGATTACGCAATCCGAGCAACACCTGTGGGATGAGCGCAATCAAAAGAACCAGCTGATTAAAGACGTTGCTGCATTGGAGGAGGAGCTAACGAGACTAAAGGCTCAAAGAACACACGATGAAAGGTTCATTCAGGACTTGCAAGAACAGGTGCAACAAGGGCCAGATGGGGTAGCACAAGACGGCAACATTACCGCACTCTCCGGGGCTTTTAGTTTGGAGGACGAGTTGAATAATGCGACCGACGGGGATAGACAGACCAATCTTCCGTTAGAATTGTCTCGATTTAAGGCTGAAAATGAACTTCTAAGACGAACACTTGGATCGACCGGCGATGCAGCCCTTCTCAGGCGTGAGCTTGAAGAGCAACGCCGGCAGCGGGATCGTCTCCAGCAGAATTTCAATGACATTTTCGAAAAGCATACATTATCTCAAGAACAAATTACAGCTTTAATAAATGACTCCAGCAATGAAGGGTATGGGACCAAGAATCGATATCTGCAAAAAGATTTGAAATCGCATAAACTAACCATCCAATTTATGACTACAGGTCCGAAGCATTCGTTAATTTGCAAACTCAGCTCGTCGGGTCACAGGAAGAGCTTGATGCAATCAAAAAACAAGCCGCCGAGCTGCAATCTAAGGTTTCAGACACGAATCGAGAGCTGATTGCAGCCAAAGCAAAGCTTTCGGCCGCAGAAAAAGGCGGGACCGAGGCTATTGATGAGCTCAAGAGCACTGACAAACTGATATCCGAATCCCTCAAGGCAGAGCTGGACAGGCTAAGGGAGGAGTACAATTTTGTCGTCAGTGAACGGGACGCTCAGAAGTCTCAGCTAATTGATGCACTTCTTGCCAAGGAAAAGCTCAGAAAAGAGGTCGAAGATACAAAAGAATTGCAAGAGAGCTCAATGGCTGGGTCAGCGGATGCAGACATGTCTGAGACGATGAGGAAATCCAGTGAAAAGATAGAAAAACTGCGTATACGCCTCAAAGAACGTAAATTGGTAAGTTGCTACAGCCATCGTTGTCAATGTCCCTGGTCTTTGCATACGGCTGTTATCATATGAAGATTTGGCTTCACAGATCCAGATAACTATAAGCTGGCATCGGGAGTCGCGCAGTTGCAGTCAAGTTGGTCGCCGAAAACGCATGGGACACATATGGTCAAATACTACTGTTACGGCTGGCTGGACTAGTCCTCAAAGATGGCAAGCAAAGTGGAAGACTTCACTGTGTTTGCCGCGAGTTGCCGTTTATCCAGTTGGTATTTCGGCATTGATTGCACAGTAATGGATTGATGTCATCCTCAAGACCTTGGCCTCAAAATATTGACCCGGTCTCACACTATGAATGTTTTCTGCCTTGGTTCTAACTTGTCTTGTCCACAGCAACTTGAACAATCGGAGCAAGAAAAACTCGACTTGCAAAATCGTCTCAAAGCAGCGCAAGGCGGTGAGGTTTCGGCTGGCCAAAGGGTGAGTCTATTCATTTCGCAGCTATGAACTAAGCAACTGCTGAAGGCATTTGCTCTATCTCTCATCTAATTTCAAATTTACTAATTGTGGTATGTCGTCAAGGCTGCTACTGATGAGCTTATGAAGAACCTTCAAAGAGAGAACGCTCTCATTGCAACAGCGTGGTTTAATCTCACAAGCCGACTGCAGAGCAACCATGTTGTAGTTCAGCGGCGGCATGACGCGCCAAGAAGCTGGCTGAACAAGCAGAGGCAGATGGTCAATGGTCAGTTGCGCCAACGCGACTTGCTCTACCTCTACTGACCAAATGTCTTCCAGCGACTCCGCGGAGATAGGATTTCATGGTTTGAAGCCGCCGTGATCGATCCACCCCAGAACTGTATTCATCTAATGACACACAAAGACTGAATATGTCTGCCTTCGTATCAAGCTTGCCACTTCTCTCGAGGAGCAAGGAATTCCTACCCTACCCTGGCTTCCTCTCGCGCTCTTTTTCGGTCTGGTAATACTTCCTACGTCTTATCTGATCTTGGGTATGGACATATTGGTATTCCAGAATAGTTGAATCATCAAAACAACTTCTATACCCACCTTAGACAAAGCCCTTTTCTAATGCATACATTCATCATTAATTTACACCTAATTTTGCTTTGAAGCCCTAGGTGAATGCTCTGAATCAACAGTCAATCTGTCATGTGTAGCTATGACCAAGTGAACCAGCACCTTCGAACCTCGCAAGATAGCACACTTTCGTTACTCAAGCACTTAAGACGTTCCCCGCTGGCAACCAAGCGGGCTAGCACTTAACAGCCACTGAGTCGTCGCTGACGGATAGTATTGACGGCTCAAATTCCTAGGCACCTCGGTGGTCTCTAATCAAGTCAAAACAATGCCTGCACAGGAAACCACAGCACGACAATATCAGAAGGTATGAAGTATGAAGGCTTCAAAACCACATGACGGATCGGAGTTGTACTTGAGCACTAGACGAAGCTCTCAGCCCTGAAATGAAAATTGAGACTCAAAAACATCTGCCTTTTAGCTTATAAAACATGCGCAACCATAGCGTTTGTTTGATTCCGTTTGTGAATATTATCCAGAATCCTATGTTTTGGGTTGTATTTGATACATGCAGGTAAAATCTGGACTCTAAGACTACATAGTGTACCTCTTTTCTTGAAAGCAACGAGGCTCGCTGAAACTAGGACGGGTTTTCATCGGTTGAGTTTTGCACCACTATAGGGGGCGTTTAGTCCTTACTGGCAATTCGGCTCAGTATACTGGATCCTTGACTCTTGTTTCCTTGCAAGATATCTAGCATATTCTTCCACACTTGTCCAGGTTGCTGGCTAGCGTCGATGCCCTTCCATATGCCAGTCTTCTGATAGTAATCGACAACTGGTGTCGTCTGCTTATGATACGTGACTAGACGCTTCTTCAATGCATCTGCATTGTCATCGCTTCGCTGAACAAGGGGCTCGCCTGTAACATCATCCTTCATAGGTTCCTTTGGCGGATTGAATGTACTATGGTAGGACCGACCCGACGCAGGGTGGATCAAGCGACCGGTGATACGTGCAACGAGCAACGAGTCATCAATTTGCAGCTCAACAGCATGCTGAAGCTTCTGGTTTCGCTCTTGAAGCATGGAGTCAAGGCCTTCTGCCTGAGGGACCGTGCGGGGGAATCCATCAAGGATGAAACTGGACTTGTGGTAAGCAAAGGCTTGGTTCGACTAAAAACTTCCAAATTGTTGTACACATACCCTCCTTGGCACTCCTTGTTGTTTTCCAGCTCTTCTTTGATCATTCCGATGACAATGTCGTCACTGACGAGACCGCCCTGATCCATGATCTTCTTTGCCTCTCGACCAAGGGGAGTTTTCTTCGCAACCTGAGAACGCAACATGTCACCCGTGGCCTATGTTATGCATAAAAGACAAAGATGGTCAGAAAAAAGCGAGACGACGAAACAATCAGGATATTGCTTGGGTATTTTTACCAACGACTTACCAGATGGCAGCAGGAGAATCGTTCCTTGATCTTTGGCGCCTGCGTTCCTTTGCCTAAAAATTCGAGGTTACTCGACGTCCCGAGGGATGACAAAAGTCAGTGTTCTTACCAGCTCCGGGCGGTCCCATAATGACCATGCGAATCTCTTCAGTGGAAGGAGAGGAGCCCGTTGCGCGCCTCTCCAGCTGCTTAATGCGCGAGTCGAGGTTGCCGATGACCTCTTTCAGCTGCTTCAACTCATCCTCGACGAAACCCATGATCGTAACAAAGTGGAAGGACTGGGTTCAAGTGGTGGAAGCCAATTGGTCAATTCGACTCTCCCGGGTGCTGAAGGAGAGCTTACCCCGTGGCGGGTTGCAAGAATTGAGATATGAAGGGGGAGGGAAAGGACAGTAGAGGAATCGGGATGGAGGGCTGGAGTCAATTGATCCTGACGAAAGAAGCGTTGTCGGCAGAACCATGGCTCGGGATACGGAGTAGTGGCCCCATACTTAAAGGTTTCTTATGATTTTGTCGGCTACGGAGTACTTTGGCCTAAGCTCCGTCCGCCCTAGCGGCCAGGCCTGATTGGTTTGTCTGCTCAGTGGGTATGTCGCTTTGCGCTCGCCGCCAGTGCAGCCCAGCTGCTGGCTGTTAGCGCTTCAGTCGTTACCTGGCAATCAAGACATGCGACGCTGAGTTTGGCGCTGGAATTGAGCGACAGGTGTACCGAGTACAGGGCAACCGTGGCCTGCGAAAGCCCGGTAAGCCGACAACGAGTGCGTCAATACCTCTTAGATGCCAGCGGTTCTCGCTGCGTACTTAAGTACTTAAGTACGTAAGTACCTGGGCAAGCTTCAAGCGTCAGGCGGTCAGGCGGCTCGGCTTAGGGATCTATTGACAAATCTCCATTTGCCCGTGAGCAACATCCCAAAGTTCGAGCGCTCAAAGCTCCAGATGTCAGGCAGAGACGGCACTCAGTCAGTGGTCATGTAGCTGGTTCGTAGCTGGTGAAGGCCAGCAGTGCTTGCTGTACGCCATCCCACCGTTGTGAGGCTTTTTGGCGAAGCCCCGGAGGTGACAAATTTCACTGTCGAGCATGTATATTGAATATTTTCCCTCCGAGATGAGGTTCACCTATGTCAAGGTGTCTATTCCTTTGCGGGTTCTTCGGTATATATTTTTTAGCTTTAGTGTGTGGTTAGTTGTTGTTCTTGGCCTAGGTACAACCAAAATGATTGATCATCCGGCCTTTTTTTAAGTAACCCAACGTGAATATCAAATCCTTTACCTAAGTCGGTACCCAGCTCGAGACGTACCCCTAACACACAAGGGATTCGTACTGTGTCCGGAGTTCGACTTCGGTAAAATAAGGATAAAAAATAACTGCCTAGGTCCTGTTAGTAGGCATTAGATCCCCGAAAACAGAAACAAACGGCCTAAGATAGATACCCTAGGCTCTGGTTATTCCGGACTGACTGTAAGATGTTCGTGCACCCCAAATTGTCTTAGTCTGAGCTTTCTGCCCACGTGACGTCCATTCAGGCTTCGCCCTCGAGAGCTCTGTGGCCCACACTCCTCTGCAACTACGGTGCACCTAGTACTCTGTAATAGCAGGCTGACCTCATCCATCTGGTAATTCGAAAGCTTCCGAGTCCCCCAGGTTTGCCTTTGCTGGTCGTTCTATCCCCATCTAATCCTTTCGCTAGCACTACCTTGTGTGTCGCGAGTACAGTCATCCAGCACGCGACTCCTTTTTTCCGGGAAGGCAGCGTTGAGGCTTGCCAGCACAGGCATCAAGGCAGCCGCGCACACACGTACATCAGTCAAGAAGTGATCGCTTCGCGCTCACCCTTTCTCGACTGCTCTTATATTACACCAACAGACTTTCTCTGCAGAACCTCATACTTGGGTTCTGCTGGACAGACGATGCCTACCACCACTGCAGAAACTCTTTCTCTCGTCACCCGAAACGTTTCCGTTGCCCCTCTGGTGCTACTTTCAGCGGTAGATCATTACAATCGGACGGCTCAGAAAAATAAGAAAAGAAGAGTAGTTGGCGTGCTTCTAGGCCAGAACGACGGCAAAAATGTAAGAGTGTCAAATAGCTTTGCCGGTACGTACTAAATGTGGTATACTCTTGGAAATTGGCCGAGTAGCCGGTATCTAATTAGCTTCATCACTCAGTGCCGTTCGAAGAAGATGATACAGATCCGTCAGTCTGGTTTTTGGATCACAACTATGTGGAATCTATGAATGACATGTTCAAGAAAGTCAACGCGAGAGAGAAACTGATCGGATGGTACCATTCTGGCCCGAAGCTGCGAGCCTCGGATCTCGAGATTAACGAGCTGTTCAAGAGATACACACCTAACCCGCTGCTCGTAATCATTGATGTCCAACCAAAGGAATCGGGAGTGCCAACCGACGCCTACTTTTCCGTTGAAGAAATCAAAGATGTGAGTAGACTCACCCCTCAAGGTCATGGAGGCCCGAGTGCCTGTAGTTGAAAAACCGGTTTCGGTGTCCCATACCTTCCCTGACGAGCCACTTGCCTCCCCTCACGTAGCCACTAACACACACAAGGATGGCACTACCACTTCGAGAACTTTTGTCCACACGCCTTCTATCATTGAGGCCGAGGAGGCTGAGGAAATTGGCGTCGAACATTTACTACGAGATATCCGAGATGTCGCTGTTGGCACTTTATCTACACGCGTTACAAACCAGCTTCAGTCGCTTCAAGGCCTTCACTTACGATTGAGAGACATTGGCGCGTATCTTCAGAAGGTTCTAGATGGCCAACTGCCCGTCAATCACGCAATCCTAGGTAATCTGCAAGACGTCTTCAATTTACTGCCAAACTTGTCCTCTCCTGAGGTGGATGGAGAATCTCGGGGGGGTGAATTAGCATATGCCATGAGTATCAAAACCAACGATCAACTCATGGCTATCTACTTGAGCAGCTTGATACGTGCCATCACTGCATTCCATGATCTTATAGAAAATAAGATACAGAACAGGCAGCAACAGGATGAGAAGGAGGCAAAAAAAGAGGAAAATGCTGCTAAAGAAGAGAAAAAGGAAAACGGCGTCAGCGGACATAACGGCGAGCCCAAGGAGAGGAGTGACAAACAGAAGGATGGCAAAGACAAGAAGAAATAGTGGAGGTGATCTGACTGGTCATACGTGAGCCTCCTCCGTATCTTGGGCTTCCGGGTATGATTCGAGCATTGTCGGGTAGATTTAAGGCTACATATACCATCCCTATGTACACTTCGTTATTAATAGACAACGACCGACCAACCCATTGACCTTCTTGTGATTCCGTGCGTATATTCCATCATCGTTGTGGAATAACATGGGAGCGATTCCTTAGATTGAACTTCTATTAGGCTGATTTCAGTTCTTTTCGGCAGGAATCAAACTGCTGACAAAAAAGCCGCCATCCCATAGTCTGAAACAATCTTGTTTACAACACTGTCCGCAAATAAATGCCCACATCTTTCAACCAACAAGCACGCTAGAAGATGTTTACAGCTCGGTAAGCTGTCACTATTCACAAAGGTAACACTTCGGGGTGTATTCCACGATGACCATTCCAGCCCACAAGCCAAGGCAGAGTGAATACAGTTAAACTGCGTATCATTCAATCGTCGGCTGCAATATTTAGCAACGGCGAAGCTGGTGCATGAGCAATTCCAGGCCATGAGGTGCACAATGTGCGTTTTTGGTATGGCTCTTGTCTCAGTCGCTGTCAAACGTAGGGATGTGGAAGAAAACGGTCGAACAGCATAGACTGACGGTTCGTTGTGACCCAATTCCGAGGTCTTATTGTTCTGAGAAGTCTGAGAAGGCCACGTTTGACCAAGTCCCTGGTCATTGGTGACAACTGGACCTATTTCTGTCCCAGCTGATACATCTGAGCCAACGCGAAATTTATCAACCAGCCGCCTATCTATTAGGTCCAATGCAGGTAATACAAGATTAGGAAATAACACATGGAGTGTCAGCATCACACTCCGAAGTTCCCTTATTGAAGCCTCTTGCGAAATCTGCCGAGGCATGCCGTTCGATTGCTCATGTGTAAAGCAGGATGATTTGGATATTGAAGCTATAAGCGAGGATAAGATCGTGCCGTGGGAGGGAAGAGGTCCTGGCGTCATCGTGAGACCTGGTTCTCAGCCTAGATTATTAAAGCCGGTATTGTAGCAAAGTGTGAACAAGGTAAAAACATTCAAACGTCAGACTTTTTACTTCTCGCCATTTTTGAGGCAGTGAGGGATGATGGGTGTATCCAACCAACTACCTCTACGTAGGTAGGTTAGGTATTTGGTGTGTTGGACACAGTGCTAAGACCTGGCTGTCACGGTGCGGTACGCCGGGTCCGAAGGTGATGCCCAGATTGTCACAGTCTTAAGCCCAAACATAATCTGATTGTCTGTTCGGCGAAACTGAATAAGCCATGTTGCTTGAATTCTTGGCTGCACCAGTGTCCTGCTTGGGACAGCACCTCGCCTAGAGTCGTTAGGAGGAACAAGAATGGAGAGAGAGCTAGTATATTCACTAAAAAAGCACGAGATGTGTAAAGACATTTGAAATGTCATCTCAAGCCCCCTCCGCCTTCTAAGTTTCACTGAGTTTATTTAACATAAAACTGGGCAATTATTTTACACATGGCGCAAATACTACCAGGGCATAAGCCTCCCCGCCTGCAGATGCTTGGATTCAAACCCAGTCCTTCGGGTCTTTCAGAACGTCTACGAGGCGCTGTTCTCTACTTTTTGGTTCTGGCTCATGCATATACTTCCAGCTCGCAGTCAGCGGTAAGCTGACGAGTATGCTTTCCACCCGCGATCCCGGAGTGTTCAGTCCAAAGGCAGTCCCCCGATCGTGCACAAGATTGAATTCAACATACTTGCCACGCCGAATTTGCTGCCAGTCCTTCTCTTCTGCCGTAAACGGCATATCCTTGCGTTTTTCCAAAATGGGAAGGTATGATGGTATAAATGATTTCAAGCAGTCCTGGATGAAGGCGAATGTGTTCTCTTGGTCACGTTCCGAGTCGTCGAGGTCATCGAAAAAGATACCTCCAATGCCGCGACATTCGCCTCGGTGCTTGTTATAAAAGTACTCGTCGCACCACTTTTTGAAACGTGGATAGTATGTCTTGTCATGTGAATCGCAAGCGGATTTTAGTGTTTTGTGGAAATGGATGGCGTCTTCGTCAAAGAGGTACGAAGGTGTCAGATCACTACCTCCACCAAACCACCACGCTTGAGATGATCCATCTGGGTTCGCTGTTTCGAAATATCTGTAATTGAGGTGGACTGTGGGTGCCATTGGATTCTTGGGGTGCAGAACCATGCTCAGGCCGGCGGCGAAGAAGTCGAGGGACTCTACACTTGGATCGAGCATCTTGTGGTTTGCGTGCATCTTTTGTATGGCAGGTTTTGGGAGAGAACCGTATACCACACTGATGTTGACACCAGCCTTCTCAAATACGTTGCCGTCTTGGAGAACACAAGATATGCCGCCACCGCCATTGTCTCGAGTCCACTCATCCTTCCGGAATCTTTTGCCGTCCACTTTTTCAAGTTCTTTGACGATGATCTGTTGTTGTTCTTTGATGAATTTCTCCATTCGAAGCCTCATCGGGGAATCCTCGTTGATTGTCGCTTCCCTCTTTTTCTGGGCATCTTTTTCTGCCAGAGTCGTTGCGTCGAGGCTTGCTCCGTTCGCTGTTGCCTGTGGTTGAGAGTCATGATGAGCAATTGAGTGCGAAATTAAGCATCAAATTAAGCATTCCATAACTCACTGATTGGATTGCCAATGGCGCCCCGACAATAAGGGCCAGAGCTCCTGCCCAGACTGGCGTCCAGGCCGGTCGACGAGTTTGGTAGCCAGCGGAACTGGACGCAGCACGTCGGCCTAGCTTGGAAAGACCATTGTGACAGTGAGCTGAGAAAACCCACGCACGAGGGCGAAACCCAGATACAAATCGCTGCGCTTGGCGACTAGGTGAAGCCATAGTCGACGACGAAGCTCGGTCGTCTACAATTGATGCTGCAGCCACGGTATAACTATCCAAAGGGTATTAAGAAATCTGCAGTGACTACAGAGTAGCAGGCTGTCCAAATTCCTGCAATATATCGAGTTTATGTGTTGCGCGTTCGGGCAAAGCCGGGGGAGAGGGATGGTCGAGGCCTGGTTGCTCGAAAGGGCGGGAATATCGAATGTTGTCAAGAACGTCTGGCACCATACTCTCGCCAAGTCAGCTGTTCGCCGAAGCTGGAGTTGATTTGTTTCCTGATATTACCTACCTGGTAGGTACTGGTGGTTTCGGCCTTGCTAGCCCCCCAACAGAGTACATGTAGGTACCTGTGCAACTGAGCTCCACTACCTCCACTACCCCGGCAGGTGAGCTAGCATCTGGTAAAATCTGGCCACCAGCCGGCTGCTCGTGCCACCCACACCACGTAGATCGTAGATGCGAAGTCAACTTAAGCAGTTGGGGCACGGAGTAATAGTAAGCAGTCGCTCAGTTTCTTAACCACATAAGCTCGAGATGCTCTCAATATATTGAAATACCTAACGCTAACAGCACTTACAACTTTGATGCATTGGCGTTCCGGCAGGCTTGCTTTCCGTTTGATGCTGCGCGGGAATCGGGTATTCGAGCCGACATTAACTGGTTTATGTTTCTCCGATCATTGTTTAGGCATGGAAATTATGCCCGTGACAGAAGCCAACGACGACTACCTACATTTCCACATGAGCCTGAACGCCGGCAGTTTTTCCAGGTAATTTCGACATGGCCGAGTTGGTAGAAGGCACGCGGAAGCCTGAAGAGCTCGATATCGGGTAACCTGGTAGAAAACTAGAAGCCTTTCGGCGTAACCTTTAAAGTGTCTCAAAGGAGAGAGAGTATGGACTGTATGAACCTGTTCCAATAAATCCATCGTCCTCACCATAGCCCCCCTGAGTAATACTCTGTAATTCTTATGATTTCAAAATTGCCAAGGGGGTCTCAATACAGCTTCCAGTGATTCACTCGTCGGCCTCAACCCTTCCGGATTTGGACTAGCCCAGTCGCTCCCCGCGCTGTTGGCCTCGTGCCTGTCACTGCCTGCCACCGCCTCTCTTTTGATTTGGTCATCTTCCGCACCCCTCTTTCTTCCGTGGCCTGCTGCCTCGTCATCACCTGCCTATTAGTTTAGGCAGCGCATCATCTCCTCCCGCCCAGTAGCCTCTCCCTTCCATCGACAAGCTCTGATCTCTGTCACAATACATTTATTTCGACCTGCTTGTTACATCTCTGATCGCAACAACATACGTGCAACCAGAGCCTTAACTACTACCAACATATCTGTGCTGAACCGAGCATTCAGTCATCATGCGAAGCAAGTTCAAGGACGAACATCCGTTTGAAAAGCGTAAGGCTGAGGCCGAGCGCATCCGCCAGAAATATGCGGATCGCATTCCAGTAAGCATCATACGCTGAACTAGGGATCAGCTTGGCGATTATCTGTGATGGCCTTGTCCATTTTCTGGCCTATCGTCGTCAAAATAGAAGCATCGCATCACTGCCGCAAAGTCTCGAAAGCTGACTCTTGTTTTGTTTCAGGTCATATGCGAAAAGGTAGAGAAGAGCGACATCGCCACCATCGACAAGAAGAAATATCTGGTGCCATCAGATTTGACGGTCGGGCAGTTCGTGTATGTCATTCGCAAGAGAATCAAGTTGTCCCCGGAGAAGGCAATCTTTATATTCGTTGATGAGGTGCTGCCACCAACTGCGGCTCTAATGAGCAGCATCTATGAGGAGCACAAGGATGAAGACGGGTACGCTCCCCATCGCTAAAAACAACACTTGGACATACACAGCAGTGGTCTAATTACTCCTTTGCAGATTCCTCTACATCACCTACTCGGGCGAAAACACTTTTGGCACCGCGTAAAAGCTTAGGCGGGCTCGCGATATTTTTGTTAGATGGTGATGAAGGGCGTTCCGGTCTTGCACGGTTGAAACTTTTGTTTGATTTGGTTCCGGGTCTCGATTAGAGTTGCTTGTTCCTGCATCTGCCTACTTCTCGAAACGGATTTGGTTCATATTTGTGCGACATTCTTTGCAACCCGCGCTCAACAATGCGGAGGCAAGTGAA